TACAGCGCGCGGGCCGGGGAGCCCGCACTGCGTCGGTGATACGGTCGCGCGCGCGGGGCGTGGAGGGCCAGGGAGGTGGAATCCGGGGCGGCGGAAACTTCCGATTTTTTGCGGCTTTAATTAGCCCGAGGCTGGCCGGAGAGGATTGAGCCGTGCGATTTTTGTTTTTCCGCTGCTCGAGCCGGCCAGCCGTGCCTACGGCGAGAAAAGGAGCGTCCGACCCGGTCCGATCTCGCGCTCCAGCGGGAACGCCGAGCGCCTCGGACGCCAAGCGGAAACGGCGTTCCACGAGGCGGGGCCCGGTGGCGATCACCGGTCGGCGCCTGCGCGGCCGGCCGGCCCGGTGGGTCGCCACGGCACATGCGCCGCGCGCCGTCGCCAGGCCCCGCCGCCGCCCCGCCAGAGCAGCGGCGAGATGGGAGGCGGTCGGCGGGTGACATCGGCTCTTCGAGCGAGCTTTCAGCTCACTTTGACGACGCTAGGAAAATCAATTCGTGGAATCCAGTCCGAGATGCAGTGAGGCGGAGCCTACCCTGCGCGCGCGCGCGCCGTGGTGCAAATAAAATTAACAAATAAAATAAAAACCAGGCGGAAGAGAGAGAAAAACACGAGATTCGAGATGCGCCCGGGTAACCATGGTCGCGTCTCGCAGGCCGCGCGCGCCCTGTCGCTCTCCCCTCGCGGTGCGCGTCTAGACTTTCTAGTCCGCGCGCCCTCCACAGGCGCCCTCGCTCTCGGCCCTGCCCCACGGGGACCAAGGACAGTTGGTGACAGTACAAGTTCTCCCGGACGTCGCTCATCATCTCCTCGTCCCGCACTGGGAAGAGGCCGCGGCCGCCGCCGCCATGGGCCCCAGGAAGCGAGAGCTGCGAGAACCAATACAGACGCGGGACCTCTGCCGGGACCGGGCGCGCTCCGGTCTCACCGCGCACTGCGGGCCCCATCTGGAGAAATTCCGTACAAGCTCTGCGGCTCACCCACTCGCCACCTCGGCGCGCCCCACCTGCTGCTTGACCAGCCGCGCGTACTCCTCGCGGCTCCTCCGGCACGCCTCGTACGGGCGGTTGCCTCCCGCCCGGCTGGCTGGGGAGCCGAGGTTAGGCTCGTCCAAGAAGGTCTGCAGGGCGAGGCACACCTCCCGGATGCTGATGGTGGGGAGCCAGGTGCCGCCGCGCCCGTAACCGTGCGTCGACTCGGGCGGGTTGATGATGCTCAGGCAGACGCCTGCGTGGGGAGGCGGCGGAATCTCCTCTGCAGGCGACGCGCTGCAGTCGCGCCGACGCAGCAGGGCGCACCGCCGTCGTCGTAGACGTTCGGGTGGAAGAGGAGCTCGCCGCCGATCCGGTCAAAGGTGACTCGCGGAGGCCGGGCCGGGTACTCAGATGTGAAGGTCATCGTCGCCGAGAAGAGGCCGGGCGCCCAGATCGAGGAGGCCTTGGCGGGGATTTTGAGCCTCCAAACAAGCATGTTGTTGGTGCCGTCCGCGTTCTCGCTGGGCTTTGCGACAAACCCCACCGGACGATTCTTGCGCCATTCCTACAGGGTGGCAGCGAGCCTTTGGCGGCCGACGCGAACAAGGTGAGTGCTAGGCAGAGCGGAACGAGCGCTTACGAGTGCAAGGCAGAGCGGAACGAGGTGACCGGCGAGATACCTTGCGCTCGTTCTTCAGCCTCTCGAGGCAGGTGTCCATCGTGGCACACTAAAACCACTCCGGCTCGTCCAACCGCCTCCCTTCACTCACTCTGAAAAAAAGAAATTGCGCAACTTCACTTTAGAAAAGAAACTCGAACCCCGTGTCATGCGACGCGCATGCCGAGCGGCCCCACTACCCCACGGGCCCACGCACCACCTGATTTGCCAACAATATACCTAAAACGCACCACCACTCGCGA